ACCCACGTCAGCAGTAATTTACCAAACAAGAACCTCACTCAGTGTCCCAAGCAGCTATTACATCAAAATGCCATGAAAGAGAAACACACTTATAGATATTCAATATTCCTCAGCCTGAGAGGGTGGATGTAAAAGAAACTGCCTAAGAGTAAAGGAGAAAATGTGATCATAAATGACTGCAGACAGTTTTTCAAAACCTGCAGGAAGTTCCGAAAGCCAACCTGGTTTATAAATATGAAAGAGCTGTGTAATATGAGTAGCAAGATAAAATAAGGGATTTAAATTATGCATTTATCCAGGAGCAAATTGCACCTACCCACTATACAGACAGCAGGTTACATGGTCACCAAGACAACCCTTATTACTCTTCATTTTATCCTCTAACTCAGTATCTTCTTCATACCGAAGCTGCTTCTTTTATCCTGTCCACTATGTGCTAATTTCTCCTTCCACAGTAACACACAGCTACACCTTCCACCAGGTCTTACTGTCCTCAATCACCACAATTTTTGGTTTCTCTCTCTGAAGCGCCATGCAGACACACGCTACCTCATCTCAAAACAAGCGCTGGGCTTCTCCAGATCAGGTTCGATCCACACAGCTCACACTGTGGCCAAGGTCTAGTCAACTGACTGGTGTTCGGAATGGTCATTTTTAGTCCACTCCTTGGCATACAAATATTAACACCATGAAGACAAGCAACTGACTGAAAACCATGAGGGACCCGTGACTGTACTCCGGTGTTGGTCAGAAAAGCTGTTTTCTCCACTCAGGGACTGAAACCCAGTGAATTAACTGGATTTTTGCCTGCATTTAGTTTCACCTATGGAAATAGTTGTCAGTACAGAGTGCCTCCGCGGCAATATACCCCCTCAAAACGTGCGCAAGTTGAGACGTGTAGAGCCAGATCTGCAAGTGCAGCAATTTTAGGCATAATAAAAATACACCATTCTTAGTTTAGTCAGAATGATGAGATATTAAAAGTTACTTTTGAGAAGCTCACGAGTATGGAAAAGTGTTTGTAGCTTTGTGTTCTCTCTTCTTGTTGGCGAATCCGGTCAACGAGAATTCTTCCAAATCAGCAAATGTAACGTAAACTGAACAAGCATAGCAAGGTACCACTGCTTGTTGGAAGTAAATAAAGGCCAGACTATTAAATATTTATTCCTTTCTACAGAGCTCCTGATTTATTTATAAGTCTCTGTTGAAAAAAAACACACACAAAAAAAAAAAAAAAACCCACAAAAAAACCCAACTCTGCAGCTAATTAGAGGGTACTGGGAGAAGAGTAATTTAAAAGTAGTAAAGCAAGCTCCTGCAGCACAGCACTCTGTACGTGCGGCTCGGATTCATCACGGACCTCGCTCCAAAATTTAGCCGTGCAATTGCCAGCATCAGCCACACACACTCGTACATAAACCCCGTCAACTTCTTTATTCAAGCAACAGGAACTTTAGTTCTAAACTGCTTTTCCGAAATGCAAAATAAAAGCCCACACGCTTCTAGTTAAAGCGGCTGAGTCTCATCGCTGAGAAAGCAAAGCTAGGGCACAGGCATTAGAGATTAACTGAACCTCTACAGAAAACCACTGAACTCAATAACCAGGTAGCGATTGAAGCAACGTCACAAGTAATTTACTTTTAAAGAAAACATTTTAATTCAAATTACCTCACAACACCACCACTGACAGGAGAATTAAAAACAAACAGAAAAAATCAGAAGAGTCTCTGTTGTTTAGGGTTTTGGTTTGGTTTTTTTTTTTTAAAAAAAAAAAAAAAAAGTTTTTTTTTTTTTTTTAAAAAAAAAAAAAGACAAGCATGATAAATTAAGCTGTCTGTAAGGACCAATACACTATTTGGGAGCTAAAAGAACATTTAAAACAGCCAGCCAACCATATCTCTAAAACGATCAAATACAGACAGTGGAAACCTTTATGACCCCAGATGTTTAAAATATATAGATTTGATGACTACTATGAAACATGCTATTTTAATATAGCTGCTTTTTATTTCCACAGCGGATTTAAATGCACCTGCAGACATTGCTGTTGTTCTCAAAAGCAGAAGCATTTTACCACCCAGGTTCATGCAACTAGCCATACTACTTTGGATAACACAGTAAGAAAGTGTAATATATGTGATACACTGTACAAAGTAGAATAAGGAAAACGAAGCTATTACCCCACAATATAATTCTTAAAGTAGTAATATAAAATAAAATTCCTATCAGGTATTTTAAATGCAGAGCTTCAAAAAAAAAAACCAAACCATAAACCAACAGCTTCAGTCAAAAAGCAGGAGCATGGGGCAAAGCAACTCCTTTTCTGTATTCATGCATCACTGTAAAAGCTCCAAACTACACACGTTTTCCTATCTACAAGTGGATTTTTAAACCTCTTAATTCCCAGTCAGTACAACCTTATCAACACAGCATAGACTGTCATGTATTTTTGAATGGCAGAAAGTCACAATTTAAGTGAAACAAGGCAAAGGACCCACAGACACAGAGAATGGAGCTTTTTCTCTACCTCCAGACTTTGTTCTCAAAGAATACCAAAATACGAACAAAGGGAAACAATGATTTTGAAATCCTTTTATTTTCCAAAACCTATAGTCTGCTGATAACATTTTTATTACTTTCCCATTAAATTGCTGAACAGGCAGCGTTGATGTAAGAGGTCAGAGGGTTTATCCAGCCCCCTGCAAGAACTGTTCCAGATTTATATACACGGGGAAACAAAAAAGACCAAGGCCCATCCCTTCCCTAACATGCACATACGCTTCAGCTTTTCTCTTCCCAAGCACTCCAGACCCCTTGGATGCTTCTTCCCCAACACAGAGCAGCGACCCAGCTCGGAGAGCTGACGGGGACACCCCAGACCCGTGTCCTGTGGGTGAAGGTCACCCCAGCATAGACCCCCCCCATCCTCCCGTTCCCAGGAACGCTGACAAAACCACAGGCTTCAGATATCCAAGACGACTCAAGGAACTTATTTGTCAAAAGCAAAATTTACCCAGTCTTCCCAAAAGTAGGACAACTGATAAATAAGCACGCAAGAGCCTACATTAAAAAAAGAGAAATTACTAATTCTTCAAAGGTAGAGAAATACAGCTTCCTAGCCTTCCCAAAACCACAACGACACGCTCACACATCTCTTTCACCGCTGCTTCTTTTCCCTGACACCATTCCTCAGCCCTTTGTGGGACGGAGGGGATGAGAAATCCCCTCGCAGCAGCAGCAGCAGGCGAGCAGGGGCTCCGTCCTGCAGCAGCCACAAACCTGCCCGATGGCGATAACCAACATTTATCGCCGCCGACACCAGCGGCACCCACGCAGGGCTGCCGAAACCCCCAAACCCTTTTCCACCCCAAGATTTGAGACTGCGGCCGCGGAGCCTGATGGCAAGCGGGCTCCAACTGCCCACAAGCCCAGACGAGCTGGGGGATAAGATGGGCTCCCAAAAGGTAAATACATCCCGGCAAAACGGCTGCGTCCCCCACACCCCGCCTGGGCCTCGACCCCTCTGCCCCCACATCCCACCCGCACCCCGAGCCCGCACCCCACGAGGCTCCCCCTCACCTCTGCCCCCTCACCGCC